TGGTTGTATAACATTTTGATGGCCACATGCACTGAATCATAAATGGTTAACATTATGTAATGTGAATTTCACCTCAATTAAAAAAATTAAGTTGTTAAAAATAGTAAAGGTATTATAAATACCATACACAGAAAGCATGTTTTCAGTAAGTCAAAAACCTTATGTTGTGTGTTTCCTCACAAAGCCATCTTTATAATGTGACTTAAATCCAGAGTGACAAAGAACTATTCTGCAGTCATCTCCGTGGAGAGTGCAGGCACTTGCAGGATCTTTCTGAGTCATTTCCCTGCTTCGGTGTATTGCCAAGGATTTTCAGTTTGATCTTTGAATATCATTCCCATCTGTCTCAGCTGTCCTTTCCACCACCTCCACTCCTAAGTCAGGCCACCCTTGCTTCCTAGTTGTGCTGTCACAACACTTCCTGCATGAGAAGTCTTCTGCTAGGCAGCTTCCTGACCTGTCTTTCTTCCTGGCATCCGTCAAGTCTTCCAAGTTCACAGCCTCCATCATATCCAGGTACTCATTAGACTATAGACCCTCAGTGGCATTCCATCCAGAGCAGAGAAGGCCCTACTCCTCAGACTGTATGCAAGACCACTTTTCAAAGTTCAGCCTGTTTTTATCCACCGGTCATAGACCATCTGTTTCTTCTTCAGGGCTGTCTTAGGCCAAATATGTGGTCAGGCTAAAGTGCCCCATGTGCCCAAGAAAGTTAGGACTTTCCCCCACTGCAGCGCTTACCTTCCTGCTCCTTTCTGCCCTTCCTCATCTAGATGTTGGGCTCCAGTCTGAGCTTTGAAGCCCTGATGCCCTGAAATCCATTGACTCCTTCCCAGAGGTGTTCCTTAAGCATGGTGGGTGCCATCACCACCTCTGTTAAATGCTCAGAGTACATCATGTGAAATACTGGGGTGAATGAATCACAAGCTGGAATCAAGATGCCGGGAGAAATATCAATAGCCTCAGATATGCAGATAATACCACTCTAATGGCAGAAACATTACTTTGCCAACAAAGGTCCATCTGGTCAAGGCTATTGTTTTTCCAGTGGTCATGTATGGATGTGAGAGTTGGACTGTGAAGAAAGCTGAGCACCGAAAAATTGATGCTTTTGAACTATGGTGTTGGAGAAGACTCTTGAGAGTCCGTTGGACTGCAAGGAGATCCAACCAGTCCATCCTAAAGGAGATAAGTCCTGGGTGTTCATAGGAAGGACTGATGCTAAAGCTGAAACTCCAATACTTTGGCCACCTCATGGGAAGAGTTGACTCGTTGGAAAAGATCCTGATGCTGGGAGTGGTTGGGGGCAGGAGGAGACGGGGATGACAGAGGATGAGATGGCTGGATGGCATCACTGACTCGATGGGCATGAGTGTGAGTAAACTCCGGGAGTTTGTGATGGACAGGGAGACCTGGCATGCTGCGATTCATGGGGTCGCAAAGAGTCGGACACGACTGAGTGAGTGAACTGAACTGAACTGAATGGCAGAAAGTGAAGAGGAGCTAAAGAGCCTCTTGATGAGGGTGAAAGAGGAAAGTGAAAAGGCTGGCTTGTAACTCAACATTCAAAAATTAAGATCATGGACTTAGTGGATCATGAAGTCCCATCACTTCATGGCAAACAGATGGGGAAAAAGTGGAAGCAGTAACAGATTTTATTTTCTTTTTTTTTTCCATTTATTTTTATTAGTTGGAGGCTAATTACTTTACATCATTGCAGTGGTTTTTGTCATACATTGAAATGAATTAGCCATGGATTTACATGTATTCCCCATCCCAGTCCCCCCTCCCACCTCCCTCTCCACCCGATCCCTCTGGGTCTTCCCAGTGCACCAGGCC